GCACAGGCGAAAACGCGCGTGTAAGGACTCAGCCTTACCCTCAACAGCGACATCTGTCTCTAACCGCGGCAACGCGCGACAACTCTCCCACTCGCGTCCCCGCCATCAGTCCCAGGATCAGGGGGAGAACTTGGAGGAGCCGGCGGGCGCGGAAATGGGAAGTCAGATTATTGTGAGCTCTTGATCTAGAACATTGTGTTTTAAACCTTGACCCTTCCTACGGACCGAAGTGTGTGTGCCAAGAAGAATACAGATGTGTTAGAGAAAAGCGTGGTGTTGAAGTCTCTCCGTTGCTCTCAACCCTTATTATAGCAAAACGCATCTGGGATCAGACAGTAGAAAGATCCATGTCGGGCGATGGAATTTTTGATCCCGCTGATGACAGACCCGTGTCGTGCAAACGGATGTGTGTGGATTATGACGCCGTTCTCACTCATTTGTTGCATTGGAAGTCTGACACTTATTTGTGGGAACGATCCCGTCCAACTTATTATGAAAACACTGATTCATTTAACTCAACTAAAGCGAGCGTTTCTCGTATCAAGTGGAAATATGAAGACTTTCATCGACGTCGAAGGCCCAAAACCCTTAGTGGAAAAGTCAATGGATTGACGAAACTTGCTGGAGGAATGCGCAAGAAAACATCTTCTCAACATTCGGTAAGAACTTTCCGGTACTTTCCTGTTATCTCAGTACCTCATTCCTAGACCACACTACCATCCAGAAAAATCTCTAGGACGAGTTCATAATCACGACGACCTATCAGGAACTATGAATTTTATTTTTCCGCATTCTGCTGAAACTGATTTTGGGAGGCGGTTAGGTGAAGTTAGGTTAGGTCAGATTAAATTGGTCAGAGGGAAGGTACAGAGATAACAGGAAAGAAGGTACTGAGATAACAGGAAAGTACCGAAATTCCTCCCTCCTGCTTTTGTTCTAATCCCTAAAATTCTGATTACAAATGTTTTTTCCATGCTTACCCAAAATATTCTCTCGTACTGTATATCGGGAAGAGATAGCAATTTTTATTGCTGATTTTGCTTGTAATTTAATGATTGAACTATTAATTTCAGTAGTACAGGATTTCCGAAAACTCATTTCTGGAGTGAAACATGTTCAATATTTACAGCATTAAAGCATGTACGAATAGAATTTGTATGTCTGTGTGAAGTTTTCAGAAGTAATCGACGACAAATTTTTTAAAATCCCCCAGTAATTACTGTATTTTAAAGCTCTCTCAACGTCAGATCGGATGAACTTATTAGCAGCATTTATCACCTCGATGTTTGAACTGTGATGGAAAGTAGACTTTTCCCCTGCGCAGAGCCTTTTGTACACCGTTAACGTGTGCCGCATCTAGTGTGTTAAAACGTAAATCTCAAGGAAGAACCTTCGAATAGCTTTTATTTCCTGCTAGGCCTGGCTTCACATTTTATTTTAGCCGAGGCAATATGATTAAATGTTGAAACTTTCATCAATCATGGTCAACACACGTTCCGAGCGGAACGTTGTGGCTTTCATCGGGCGCAGTTTCGCCCGAAATCTAAAGAATTAATCTGCGTTACGTTTTATTCACTTCTATCATGTCGACAAATTTTGGTACTGATCAATATTTTGGACGTCTACAGGCTCGTACTCAGCAGACGGATGGATTCAAATTTAATAGGTGAGTTATGATCTCTTTTAAGTGAAAATATCACCTTCTATGGGATTGAGCTTCTTTGTTCGATTCCCGTTTCTATGTGGCATACATTGCACCAAGCTGGAGATGATCGGCTCGGTGATACGTTGATAACAAATGTTTGAACCTTACTGAAAATGGTTCCGATTCCGTGGAAAGTCCATGCTTTCATGAGCAACTAAACCTTCGTTCATGACCCTCAAAATACACGAGTGTCATTCCTTGTCCATCTGCGTGATTTGTTGTGATCCCCCGCATTGATTCGAAAGCACAATTCTGTGCTTGAAGTATCCACCGAAATCCCCGGAAAAGCGTGAACTGTCGTGGAGAAGTATTTTAAGCATGAAACTTCGGAATTTTTAATGTCCTTCGTGCAGTTGTAAGCAGTAGTAACGTTCGCGTAACGATGGATACATGTCGTGACGGAAATGCCTCGAACGAGATAGTATTTTTTCGTTTGAACTGTCCCGGGGTTATGCTAGGTCATGCGCGCAATTAATGCTATCACTTTTGTGGTATTTCGGAAGAGATTTTACAATGCTAGCATATTTTTATTTGTACGCTTTGTTACTACAACCATGGTAATTGAACTCTTCTATACATTCGGTTATAGGTCAGAAGCTCGCACGTTCTCTTCTGAAAAGGTACGCAAAGAAACTTTGGTGTGGCCCAAGTATTCGCGAAAATGCTTCTCTAATATCATATGCGGTATTTACATACACTGAAATGTAATCAGAGTTCATTATGCTCTAGTATAATTCGCACCTTGATATTGTATTTTTCCCGTGGATCAATGCGCAATCGCCATTGATCAGAGGAATTCTTCGAACGAAGTCCCGCTCCCTAGTTTTTGTATCATTTTTGCCGGAAAAGTTGAACGTATACTCAAGTAGATACTTATTTGGCGTCAGCCAGAGAAAGATAAGTTTCACGTGTACGAAAATGTGATAAATAAAACAAATGTGACTCAGATTTTTTCAGTCTTCAAAGGTTTGTGGACTGTTACTTCGGTCAAATTAGGCCTTTGTCTCAGAGCAAGTATTATTCTCCACTTTCTGGTATATGCCTCAGGAAATTTGAGTTTCGTTTGTTTACAGGCCGCATTTTTGCCCTGAAACTTATTTTGGTCTGAGCAGTTTTTTTTCTCGCTCAAATGGTACATAAAATCAGAATTTGAGTATAACCTTACATTAGACCACATGTACTGATTAAATAACGGTCTATAATGCTCGTCGTGAGTTATTCAATAGTATGCTGAATTAAAAAAGTACCTGATCCAATCCCAAAGTTATATGTTCAAGACCGAGAAACGGTACTTGATTTCGAAGTTTTGAGGTGCAGTCATCTAACCTTTTTCAAAAACCTTGAATATGGGTTGACTCGCTTATAGAGGCAATGCTTGGCAGCGTCAGCGAAGAATACTCGGAGTTATTAACGTGGCCTTCTCTATCCTAGAAAATCCCATAAGGTTCTTCAAATTTTACTGCAGTAGAATCTCGTTTAATGAGTGATCGCTTACAACGACGTCTTTCGATTGGTTCTTGCCTAATAGACACGATGATAGTCACTTCATATCGAATTTTGTTGTTGCAATTAAGTTAATTTCCTGGCTTATTTTTGAGGAGATTAGCTGTATGATGTGAAGAAATCTTGAAGTGCTGATGATTTGAAGGAAATGATCGGATCAGTTTTTCTTCCTTCCATATTTTCAATACTGTACGGTTTAAACGTAATTGAAGAAACACAACGAATCGGAAATACTTTATATAACTGGAATACTGTATGTTAATTTTGCCGGAAAGAACGGAGTCGATTTGTCTTTCTTCTCATCGAAAGTGCGAAAGTCTGTCCGTTTTCTCCTGTCCCGCCACGTTATATGTCGTACACCACCTGCACCCGCGATGTCAGAATAACCGCGACCTCCATGCAGGGAGTTTGGATCCCGTCATCGATTTCAAAAAATTTTTTTCTCTCTCTACGAACACCAGAGGCTTTTGCTTTCACTCCATTCCACACAGTAGTTAGGAGGAGTAACATTTTCCCTCGAGGTTTCGTAAACATGAATGGATCAATGGCGATAATATCGATCAGCATTTTCCAGCGTATCTCTGGCGACGGGCTCTGACGCTGCCAGTACTTATGAATTCGTGATTATCTTGAGAGGCAAATGATCGCCCTGTCGATTTATTTGGGATGACGGGAGGACTGAATTATTTATCCGTGCCGTGGCTGGGCCAGTAAGTAACAACAGTGCCCTCGGTGTCTCATGTTGGTTTGATTTCCTTCAAGTATTTTTTTCCTTTCGTGGTGAAATTCCAATCGTTGATAGCATTTTTTGTGTGTTCGATTTTAGCCGGAAGAATAAGGTGCTGGCAGCTGCCGCTGATATCCTTGGGGAATCTGCTACTTCCTCCTGCGATGATGCCGTGAAAACCGACGATGAGGAAATCTTTCAAATTTTGGATTCAGGTTCGTTTCCCTTCCATTTGTCTGTCTAAAATTAATCATCAGAGGAAATCTGATCGATTTTATGGTATCTTTTGTCATTTCCCTGGAAGGGTTACGTGCATGTGTCCCTGAAACCTGAGCGAATGTGAACAATCGGAATGAGCATATTCTCGATCGAATGTAACGTAACGGAATCTAAGTCCTGCGTCAATTAGGCAATGTTCATTGACATAGACTCGCGTTATCGGGGAATTAATACAAGAATTTCGGAAAGTGTCGCTACAGTATTTTCTGGAATAAACTGAACTTATTGCGTCGTTTAATCATTATACAGGAACACTCACTGTACAACGAAATTTAAGGGGCCAGAAATGGTATGGTGTAGAGTGGATTTCGATGCAGGGAACCCTTTAAACATGTGGACAGAATCCTACGGGACCCAAAAATAACGTTGTTGTGAGAAAATTGTTGTAGTCAAGATCGTTTGTAGAGAGAGTCCACCTGTATTATTCTAGCGTAAAATGGAACTCTTAACGTTCAGTTGAATTTTAAAACTTTGTTTTTCCCGCTTCAACCATGTATTGACTAATTCTGTCTCATTTTTTTACGCTAGCGATGGTGACATCCGATGATGTGCAGGATGATTCCGGCGTCAAAGGTGTGTTTTCTGTTTGTTTGTTTGTTTTTTTTCGCTCAGACGATGACTCTAGTACGGTACTGCTTATTTAATTTGCGTGGCTCATTTGTCACATTTTTTAAAACTTACTAATTTTATTTGCATTGCTCGTGAATCTTCGTTTCAATTCATTTTTTCCGTTGCCGTGTATGCAGGGGTATTCAGAGAAGCCGCCGGCGCGGCAGCTGCAGTTTCGTCCTCTTCACCTGCTGGGTTACCGAAAGTGGGATCAACCACTTCTTCCGTTCAAGGAGTTTCAATATCCAGTTTAGGTTCGAAGACTTTATCTGGAAGCCAGGGTTCCGTGAGGCAGCTCTCTTTGGTGGAACTGGCTCGGCTGCAGGGGGTCGTACAAAAAGGTGAGATTCCTGAGTTTTTTCTCTGTATTTTTTGTCGAATTTTGTTTGATTCAATACAAGGGTAGTGGCATGTGAAAACTGATTTTTTTTCTCTTTTGTTGCATTTTTTTTTAGGTACTCTGGGCCGTCCAAGAGGCTTGAGACCGAGTTTATTCTCCGGTGTTCCGCCCACAATCAATTTCGCATTGCACAATACCCATGGTTTGTTACATATCTTTTCGAACAATTGTAGAATTTTTTTCTTTCGGGATTGGCGAACAAGGTTAATGTTCTACGTTTGTGAAATGGCTACTATTAATCGAAAAGATAGGAGGAGTAGGTTGATTGTTCGATAACCGCAGTCGTTGCGATTCAAGAGTTGTGAGCTCTCTGAGCCGAAGTTGACCTTTCTTTTTCTCGCATTCAGATCGTCCATGAACTATGTTGACGGAAGTTTACCTTTTTTTCTCGTACTCGGGCCGTCCATGAAATATGGGAGGAAAACATTCATTTTTTGTGGAACCCAGCGTGGCGAAAGTATCTGGTCTTTAAATGTCTTATGCGTCGCTTATCTCCCCATTACGTTCTGTTGAGTTAAGATTAGTTAAGATTGGATGTTGAGGGATATTAGATGTCAGTTGAAATGTTTGAATTATGCGTTGAGGAGGGAATTTGTGTTGGGATCGATCAGACGTTTAAAAATTCCAAAAGGGAGAGGGATAAAATACGGTAGGAAACCAACTGTTGTCTCAAAACTGTATTTTACGAAAGTATTTTTATAGCTTCATGGCTTCAATTGAATGATTTTTCGTTTCAGCTGAGGAAGTGCCTCCGTTTCTGAAGAAACATCTGAGATGGAAGTTGAGCAATCTGACTCCCCTAGTGGTTCGCAAGGTTTTGGGACATTCGAATCTGCGGTTGATGAAATGTGAGTAATGGTAAAGTCGCGTGTAGCTGACATTCATAAGAAAAATTCTATTCCCTTGGTGTGTAGCTGATTCGACGGAGTGGATTGGTCATTGGGGTAAGCACATGAAAGCGGTGATGTTCAAAGACTTCAAGGCCTATCAGAAGATTAATCACTTCCCGGGGACTTTCGTGATTGGGCGAAAAGACCGACTTTGGAAGGGATTTGCCCAGTTCCGCTCCAAGTTCGGAAAAAACGAGTGAGTTTTACTTCGTGATTCTTTTTGTCTTCAGCCTATCCTGTCACGCATGTTTTCGTTCAAGTACAGTATCACATTACGAAAATCCCCATTCATGAAAAAAATGTAAATACTGTACCTGCAGACTGTCATCGTCTTTAATTTTCCGTCAGTTAATCCTCAATTTAATTAAAAAAAATTCAAAATCTAAATAATATGCAATGACGACTTGACGTGATATCGATATTTCTGTTTTTGATATCCCAATCATCTGACTTTTCTGGGTGCTTCTGTTACGTAGTTTTTCTTGATTACGTTGTTTCTCGTTTTTTTTTTATGCGTAGGTTTATCTTGAATGATTTTTTAAGGAAATTATGTTTATATTCGAAGTCAATTCTTGGAATGTTGAGCGTTTCGAATTAGAATCATGCAGGCCTCGTTGTTCCCCCGAATGACTTATTCCACACATGTCTTCAAAGCTTTTCTGTTTAAACTCACGCTTCAATTTCGCTTTCCCCCCTGTGCGGTTGATTAAATCATTCGTTTGCGGATTCGGGTTAAGGTTGCATGCCAAGTGTTCATCCCAGGATAATCATCTATCTGGTTTGTGAATTATTAAGGTTCAACTTCCTCCCGAGAACCTACGTCTTGCCGAACGACTTGCGTGAGCTGAAGGAGTCGATGGATCGCAAAGGATCCAGGGGCCAGAACTACATCGTAAAACCGGTGAGTAAGCGAACGTTGGAATTTCTAAGCTGGGAGGTAAAGTGACTCGAAATGTCGCTGTCTTGCATGTGTCCGTCATTGTGATCATATCCCGCGGAAGATTCAAAAATTAACCTGTAAAGCTGCATTGTAATCACATCTAATACAACCGAGCACGCCATGTACCCGAGGCATTTCAGCTAGCCATAAAAATTAAAAATGCATCTGATCTTTTGCCGTTTAAGGTGTTCCGAATGCAACGAGCAATTATAAATCTGCCGAGCTTGAGTAGGATTAATGCTTCCATCAAAGCGTCAGCGGTACTTCTAGTTCTGATGAATTTGACTTTCGTGACGATTCTGGCGAGCGAAATGCTTGAAGCTGGTCACGCTGCCGCACGAATTAATTCGCTAATTAACGGACTGGCTTGTGGATCGTCAGGTTTGATCAGACCCAACGCATGAAGTCGTGTCTATCCAATGTGTTCTGCGCATTAATGAAGCCGCAGATGTTCTCATCGTTTTTTTCATACCCCTATCTTCACATCTCCTGAATAACTTTTTTTTTTGTGGATTTAACACAGGAACTTGATTCATAGTGTTCATGCGAATTTTGAACACCGTACTAGGCTAAGATGTGTACTGATTTTTCAGTCCCTTAAACGAAAAATTTTTTTTCTTCACAAAATCTACATTTTCCTTGCTTATTTTCTTGAACGTGAAGATTGCAAAAGTAATCGTATTTTTAAATTATATTTCCTCGAACGCATCGCATTACTTCGATGATCTGATTTATCTCATTCTCTCGCATTCGAAATCAACATTGGAAGAAATAATCAGAGTTGATGACTGTCGTTTCACTTCAAGGCAGAAGGACGACAGGAATTTTTTCTCAGTTGTGGATCGTAATTATTCAGTTTTCTTGGTTCATATCCAGCTTTTAACTTACTCTGAGCATTTGTGGGGGAATACATGATACATTTTCACAAATCTACAATAAAGGAAAACTTCGATCAACTCGTTCTGACCGAAGCTTGAAATTAAAGTCCTCTTTGATGTATTTCAGTTGGAAAGTCTTCCAAGTGAGGGTTTTTTTTTTTTTATGAGAGCACCTTTTTGGATCTCGGCACAAACCATCATTTTGGACTTGAATCTATGGGCCTTTGTTATATTTGGTGTTGAAATCTTCATGAATAAGCGAGTTAGATTCTCCTATATCGCGCGGAGGTTATCCTCAGTCGTTTTTTTTTAAATGGAACTGTGGGGGAAACGTGAAAGATTTTTTTCTCAACTCGCACTTGTATCAGTGGTGCATCATCGACGAAAGCGCCCTTTTTCATTCATTCTTCCCTCGCCTTGCGTCCGTTTGTAGCCAGCGTCGGCTCGTGGCACGGGGGTCTACGTCGTGAACAACTACAGTTCGATCAACGCTGAGCGTCAGCTCGTGGTGCAGAAATACATCACGCGACCGTTTCTTATCAACAGCACGAAATTCGATCTCCGTCTATACATCTTTGTTGCGTCGTACAACCCGCTTCGTCTGTACCTTTACCGCGACGGGCTTGTCCGTTTTGCCTCCGGTGAGTTCCTTTTCTTTTCTTGTCGTCCTACATTTTTTTCATTATTATTTTTTTAGACACGTGATGCCCGGTGTATCTCGTGCGATGATAGATTTATGACCTCTGGTTTTTTCATTCACCCATTTGCATTTTTTCCCTTGCATCTATTGATCGAAAACTGCCAAGGATGTCTAACCTTGAGAAGGGACATTGAAGATAAGATACTGTATCATTGCGGTGTTTAGTTTTTTTTTTTTCTTCACGAACCCAAGGAGAAAACTGGTCCGGTTTGCGTCATACGCGAAAGAGTTGCTTGATAGTTTATTGTGTCGCTTGTTCCGCAAATTTTTAGTGAAGATTCGGTTTTGATAGTGATGCAAAATTGGGAGTTTTTAACGTGTGAAATTCTATGGTTTCACACCAAAATCTGAAAAGTAAGTTTAAATCACACAAATATTTAATGAGAAAATCTGTGTCTGGAAATCATTAATTAGCCAGTGTGAGAAAAGCAAGTGCAAAATATTACCGTCGCATCTTCAACTTCACATAACCTTTGCAAATGAGAATAATAGTACAGTATTGATATTCGCTCTTTTTGCTCTAAAATTCTGAGGTTGAGCCTCCAGAATGCTTCAGGGAATTTCATGAATGACCACGTTTCCGAACTTCAGTGTTCAGATCTGATTTTTGATCAAATGTGTGTTTCTTCAATTGAAAAAATGCGGTACGAATATCCCCCAGTCGATTCGTAGACATACTGGCGTGTGACGTGTAATAACAATTGCACGCTATTCTTGAAGGCCTTGAGAATGCTGTCCTGCGTATTCACGTGATTTGGGAAATATAGTTAATGCGCCAACTGGCGAACATAGATCCTCAGTTTCGTGACCAAAATGGCACTGATATTCAACGCGAGGGAAATAATTTTCAGAGGTCGTGTTTGACATAAAAATAATTTTACTTTCACGTGCTCATTTGTCCAAACCTCGGCATCGAAATAGCTACGCGTAATTCTGGAAATTGATTTGGGTATCGAAAGAATTATAATTGATGTTTTCCTTGTTCAACAGAGAAGTACAACTCATCCTCCAGAACGCTGAACCACCAATACGTTCACTTGACAAACTATTCCATCAATCGGAAAAGCGGCAACTATCAAGCGAATAATAATATCAACGAGTGTCAAGGCCACAAATGGTAAGTTTTTGTACATTCTTCGATACTTGAACTCGAAAATTCCATTATCACCCAGATATGTTTTATCTTTTAAGTCATTGGAAGTTTTTTCGTTAAGTGCTATGTTAACTCGATTGATGTTGAGTTTGAAGTATTTTCTATTTTAGGACTCTGCTGGCATTTTGGAAATTTTTGCGACGGTTAGGTGTCAACACCGGGCTGCTTTGGGCATCAATTCAGGATATCGTAATAAAAACTATCCTAACCTCCGAATCAACTGTGAACGATATGATGGAACGACACGTGCGGTCGCGGTATTCTACGTTTGAATTGTTTGGTTTCGACATCATTTTGGACGAGACGTTGAAACCTTGGCTGCTGGAGGTAAACATTTCTCCTTCGCTGCACTCGAGTTCTAGTTTGGACGAAGACGTGAAGGGTCGTATGTTGAGGGATCTTTTCAACTTGATGATGCTTCACGTTCCGTCTGGGAAACTGTCGAAGGAGGAAGAGGTGAGTGCGTGACCATTTCAGTGAATGATCTCGTGAAGTTTGTTATATGGACTGAATCTGCTTCCTCCATATTTGACGGGGTCACGGATACAGTATAGTGATAGAGTATAACTGTCGATTAAGGAAAATAATTTTTGGCTGTCGTTCTTAAAAAGCTTTCGAAGTTGAATGAACGCATCCTTGAAACAATGTATTATCTGAATAATTTTTTTATATGAGCAGTGAAGAACTGTTCTTTTTTTCAAAAGAGCGCGGTCGCTCGGTGAGTATTAGATATTTTTTAAGTATTCAATCTTGTGGAAAAATGAATTTGCTTCACCTTGGCCAACAATTTGTTTTTCCTTTACCTTAACTTAGATATTCTTACGATCATGCTCCTTCATTAATAATCATGTTCAGGAATAATCTTTAATAAGCTAACAGAAAATGTATAAAAGCAAATCTCGACTGCCTTGTCGAAAGACGAACGCGACTTCGAACTATTTCCTGATCCTTCCCACGATTCTTCGCTCGAGTTAATTTTAAATCTTGCGAGTCTCCTCCTGATTTGACCAAGTTTTTTAATATCCTGTAGTCCTGAATCAGAAGGAATCGAAGCTGGAGTTCTGATAAGGGACCCTTGGTCATTCTTTGAATTATTTAAGCGACCCTTTTAAGCGGGGGTTCATGTAGCGAGAAGCATGGAAAGGATTCTCGGCCATGCTGTGGGGTTTAATGTTCGTCCTTGCTGCGATATTAGGTCGGATCGATCAAATAGGAATGATACATAAGGTTTTATCCGCTGAATTTTGTATTAATTCTGCAAAATTCAAATGACATTTCACGGAGAGCGGGGTTTGTGGAATTATCGTGTGCCTATTAAATTTTTTTCAACTAAACTCGTTTGGAAATTCCGTCTTATGCATTACAGTATTCGGAGAAAATATCATCCATTTAAGCACAGTATTAAACCCCACGATCGGTTGATAATATTTAGTTTCAATTGCTGAACTAAAATTCAACTGTAACGTCCGTGAATTATATTGGGTTTGTTATGAACGTTTTTTCCTCATTTTCAAATTGAACTAACGTTCTTCGGGGGAAATTTTTGGAGATTTTCTCGAAAATCGGCCCTGATTTGATAATTTAAGGCAAACGTCGCACCCAGTTGCCTTAGGCACTGCTCGTAAACATTTTGTTCATCGGGAGCGTGTTCGTGAAATCTTCAAAAGAATCGCTTGAGAAATTTAGAATCTTTAGAACAAAGTTGAAGTTATATTTCTTCTTCAAAAATACGTATATATTCTATTCTTGAAGATTCTCTGCTTGCTGAATTGAAAAGCAGACGAAACTGTATTTCTAGTACTGTATTTGTCTAACTCTAGAAGATGAGCTCGTCCAGTAAATTTTTACCGAATCCTTCTCCGCGTCGTGATTTGCTTGATTTAGATTTTACGAAGTCAGATCAGTTATTAAGGTTTCACATTTTTTCGTCAGCGGGAAGTAGTTCGACAGTGTCGCTTGCCGCCGGATTCCATGGTGTCCCACGACGCCGTTCTGTACACGGACGAACTGTCTCGAACAGAACGAAATAAGCACGACTATTACCAAACGAAGAACCGGCGGAAGGATTACCTGAGAACCATCTTATCTGAGTTGACGCCGGACGACATTCGGCAGTTGATTGTCGCCGAGGACGAACTGGCCCGTTGCGGGGACTACGTGAGGATTTTCCCGACGCAATACACGTACCTGTACCACCGGTTTTTTGAGAAACCTCGGTATTATAACCTGTTGTTGGACGCGTGGGAGTTTCACTACCACAGCGATCGACTGGCAGGACGCTTGCTTTTAGAGCACTATTGTTCCAAGAAGTATCACTTGCAGTTCCGCAAAGATGTTTCATATCGACGAATACATGTTCAGGTGAGCCCTTGTTCTGATTCCCGTTAGATGATGGGAGGGAAATACTGTACTATATTAACTTCTGGGATGATTTTACGAATTTGGTCTTGACGAATAGACCTTCGGAGGAAGGATTTTTTGTTCGCACTGGCCGCAGCGGTTTTGAAAACATAATGCAGAAACAAGATCTTTACGATTTTTACGGTACCCGAAAAGGTGGTATTTTGTTGCATGCTTCACTCGACATAGGAAATAAACATTTTACAGTACAAAGCTTATTGTGACATGATACTCCTGCTAGAGCGAAAATCAAAAGTTTGTGTTATTATTGCCCGGTTCTTCTCGGAAAAACTTGAACTCTAGTGCTTCGAGAGCTCTTCGAAATCAGGATAAAATTAGCTTCTTCAAGTCTTGATGCCCGACCTTTCCTGAGATGTCAGGTAGGGGGCCATTAAGCTCGCCGAAATGATACCCTTGTCAAACCTTGAACTAACCTGTTGAAAAAATACAGACCTATGTCGCAAAAATTCCCGATTTCGAGCGTAAGAATGAAACGAGTAGTATTCGAATGATTTTTCGTCTGAACTGAAATTTGATATTTGTTCGAAATTTTTGGTCGCATCTAGAATGTGTATTTTGCCAATGGTAAAAAAAAAGCTCTCAACATGTACTGTTCATTTTTGGAGAGCTCAACAAAGTTATTTAAATGTCTTCAGCTAGCAGAGATGCAGTACTGCACTGTACTTTTAGTTGTTGGTTTGAGATGATGAGACATATTTTCGTGGTCATGGGCTTGAAACTGATGGGAAAAGATGTTCTTGGCTTTTTTGCTGTCCGCTCTCTCGGAACACTTCCTCGTTGCGATGTTTGTCGTGGTGTCGATGCGGATTTTGGTGATGTCTTGGGACGCCTTTCGGGCTGTTGCTGCTCACGTTCATCGCGACGAATCCAAATTGAACGCGGGCTCGGAAATAGCGACTGTTGAGCGTTCCCGCGAACATGCCGCCGTCGCAGCCGACGTCCGCCCCGGTGCAGAGTAACACGCTCGAGTATCAGAAAGTTAAAGACTCTTCCGCTTCGTCTGTATCAATTCGTCCAGAACCCAGCAAGCTCGGGAATGTCCAGGCATGAATTCCCTGTTTTTTTTTCTCGCTTTTGATTTGTCCTTATCGCGACGTTTTCGGAGACCGCGATGAAATGCGGGTCTCCGTATTTTTCCTCTTCAAAAGGCTAAGACTTATCTTTTTACTTCGCGATTTCGGAACTTCAGCCCAATTTCCGATTGCGGAGGTATCAAAAGAAGAAAGTGTGTAAAGTAGAATCTCTTTGCAACGAAGCGTTTATGACCAAAGCTTCGTTATAAAAGAAAATACGTTGAAACTAAACTAATAGAACATTGTGGCTATTGGACAGGGACTAAAAAAGAAAATTTGTCGTAAGCATTAATGCGTCATGCTAAAGTTTGTTGTAACAAGATTCCACTGTTAATGTAATTTGTACGTTATACAGTAACTGCTAAACTAACAGACGTTCTTTCTTGTCGATTAAAAGGGTATAATTATTCATGTTCAAGGGAAACACGATTAGCTTTCTGCGTTTCAGTGTAGTACTGTTTGACCAGATAGACTTGTTGTTCTAGAATAACTGCGCGTGACGGGGACGTTGGATTTTTATTTTTTCTGGGATTTTTGCGTTACGTCAGTTATTCAATTGAATATTACAAGAATTTGTTTCGGAAAATCCAAAACCATGAGACATGGGAACATATGAAAAGAAAAATTATTTATGGAATGCTTTTAGGGATTTTTAGCTTATTCAATTCTTACGAATTATTTTTCCTTTCAGCTGCTGAACCCTACCTGCGCTACTCAGTGATATGCGCTGGTGATCTCTTAGTTACGATTAGCATTATTGGATTTCTTCTATTTTTTAAGCATCCAGAGATCGTCGTCCTGCGAAGTGCAGGATTTTTAAATGTCAGAAAATCGCTTTTGTGTCATGTTGCCGCGTGCCTTCGTTAAAATGTTTTCCTTTGATCTGAATTTTAGTGAGGGTATCGGATTATTCGCATGTTCAGTGGAAGTGAATCCCTTTATTCGATTTATTATCCTACATGATACGTTTCGTGCAGGTGCCAACAAAGGAATCTCCAGCACAACCGCAGTCTAGGACGGAGGATGCCTCGTGAGTCACACTTTTTTTCGAATTTTTGCACGTGATAAAAAATGCATCACTTTTTTTTCTCGTTCAAGTGGTGTATCCAGTGCGCAGACTGCGCAGGGCAGCGATGATGCAGAATCAGCCACCGAAACCCAGCAGTCGAGTAAGTGGAATAATTTTTCAAATCAGCATTGTGACCAATGAATTTTACCGTTTTATTTTTCTTATGCTGATGCAGATACAACGTAGGATCCACTCTTGAGAACCACGGTGAGTCGATTAATCTACTTCATGAGAACATTTATTTTTTGAATAGTCTATTCATTGAATATACTTCACTCTATTTCGGGATTTTGTTATTGACCAATTTTTTTTTCCAGACATTCTCCCGTGACGTTCGGAAATCGTTTCATCAAGAATTGCATTTTCCGCCGGCAATGTGATGCTTCAGTTTGATCACAGCTGACTTCCAAAATATTTTATCGAAAATTATTCTCAAGATAAAATTGTAACTCATTAAAATCTTTGTCTCTGAAATTCATTGACTCGTGAGATGGATTCCCACCGCTTTTGACGAAAATGCGATCAAGAATGCCGAGATCTGAATTGAGCGTTCGTCTGTTGAACGTGGCGTCCCGCTACTCAGGTGCATGAAAGGCAGTCGTACTGTTTTCATGAAAGTTTTTTCCCCGTGCTTTTTACCGGAGGACGTTGATGACCTCCTTTTTTTTTCCTCCCATACATTTTGTCGGTTGGGGCGAGAATTTTTTTTTATGCGAGCCCTTCGGCTGTGAAGAACCCAGGAATCGAGCGATCTGGTCGCGAATGGCGAACGACGTGATCTCAGGGCTTCGGTGTTCTGTCCGTTGTCGGTTTGAGCACAAGGAATCCTTTATTGCGCTGAACGCTGTTTATTTCGTATGCTCGACTGTGTTCCCGCTGTCTTTCCGTCGTTGACTCTTACGATTTTCGGTCTTTTCGAACATTCGGAATGACTTGATGGTTTCGTATTCATAATATGTTTCCGGACCGGAATCTTGTATTGAAGACTCGATGAAAACCGGCAGTTGAAGACAGAGCTGCACTTCGTCGTCACGAGGTCTTCTGACGTAATACCAATGGGTCACCCAGTGGAGCCGGATTTTATTCTATAAAGCGTTTTCTTAAATTACTTTTTTGGGAGCTATTGCCATCGTTTCTTCCCTCCAGCATCCGAGTGATTTAAATGGTGATTTCCTGGTCTTTTCGATTGAACTTCCGAGGCTGGCTAAATGAATTCGACGTTTGTTCCCTGAATGAAGAGTGAGCCATGTTTATTCAGTGATTTCAGTGCTTGTATATTATCATTGTGTCAATCTCTGTCCATGTTCGTAGTGCGTCGTAGAATTTACTGTCCATATCAGTGTAATAAGTTCGAAGTATGACTACCATAAAGTTATGTTTTCATTTTGATTATGTTCTTGTTAAAAAATTTCATGAACCTGCGCCACTCGATAAAAGTTCAGAAACGTTTTGCGAATGGTAGTCAGAAATCTCAATAAGAATGTTTTTTAGAATACATAGCTTTATCGCCCTGTTCGAAAAATTGAAAAAATTTGAGTTTCAACTTTTTCGATTTTGGTTCTTTGTTTGAAACCCAGTGAAGCTGAGAATTGTATGTTTTCAAAAAGAATCTATTTGATTGCTGAAAATTTGAAAGCTCCTTCTCAAAAGTTAAATATCACCGGAGAACACTCCGGGAAAAAAGTGACGTTTGATTTCCGATGGTATCACGCAAAATTGTTGGTCCTTTCCCTTTTTTTCGGAGGGATTTTCAACAATATTCTCTGCCTGTCATAGGGACGCTTTTCCAGTAATTCTTTCGATGAAGTCAGCAGTGTGACCGTGTGAAGTATCGAAGGATCAAAGGCTGCGTTGAAAGGAATGCCGCAGTGTCCCTTTTGTGGTGGTCAAGATGTCGACAAAGAAAACGACTGCTGTCTCGACTGCGGCGCAGTCTGCCAGCAGGTGTCGCAAAAATTGGTCGACGAAAATCCCTTGCCCGACGATGACAATCCAGAAGTCCAGCGAGCTTCCCATGCTGGACGGAAAGTCCGCGATCACGGTTTGTCCTCGAATTTTCGCCTATCCAAAGAGTTTCTGACCCTTGTTTCGTTCTTTTAGAGCATTTGAAATCGCGTGAAGTCGCTTTAAGGAGAAGTTGCGGCTGGTTCAGAAGCGAAGGTTTCTGCTTATGCGTCGAAGTGATGCAGAAATTGTTGGGTGAGCTAGGAGCGTCGCAAGAGACGAAGGATTGTTTGCGGATTACCTGGCATCTCTTCTTGAGGGTTTGTTTTCATGAGCACGTGAACGGAAAGTGTCAATATTTTGCATTTCAGTCGATCTAATTCGTGTTTCATCGACTTTGTTAATGAGAAAGTTGGGTTGGGCTATGTTCAGCCAAGGTTGGCTTTTTTTTAAGGTTAATGGTCGAAACGACACCTTTTCGCCGTTCTTTTATCATTCATTCGTGTTTCAAATTTTTCGTCGATAAAATATCAATTATGGACTTTCGTCGTTGACATTCTGGGTACCATTCCCTGACAATCTCGTTTTGTCCTCCAGAACATCGGTTACTGTTCTTGTGGAACTGGCGAGCAATCGGAAGGTAATCAAAAGCTTCAGTTTTCTCTGCAAGATTCTTCTCTTGGGAAAGCTGTGCCGAATCCTGTTCAAAATCTAAACCTTTCGAAAGTTTTACAGCTGATGTTGATCAGCATTTACGTATCCGGAGAGCAGAAAATTGAGGCCTTCGACTTGAAGCGGTAAGACGATTTCTAGAGTTGGGCGATTGGGTATAAGTACATTGATGAAATGATTTTTTTTTCTAGTTGGTTGAACGAGGATCATTTGCCTAGTACGTTGATGACTCGCTATTTCCCTTCTTTCATCAACGTGAACTTCCGGGATCTATCATTGTTCACGTGCAACAATTTTGTGAGTTTAATTTTCTTCTGCAAGTTATTTGTCTCCCGCAAAATGATTTCATTTGTCGTTGACTTCAGTCGCTGAAACCGGGGATTCTCTTCTCGACCGGAGCGTTCCTGGGACTGGAGGATTTCCAGGATCGCGACGTTTCGAAGATTCTGAAAAGGCTGATCGTCGAATTTGAATTACCACGTTTGTAAATTTATTTCACGTTTACAGATTACATAACAGATTTTGTCGGTGCTACTTCAGTTCGTCATCTCATCAAGAAATCAGTATCAATCCTCATGTGTTGGTTTGAGGCTAGATGAAGGTTTTAGATTGCACAGTTGAACCTCGATAACTCGAACCTCTTAGTCGATTTTTATAAAGTTCCTGCCTGAATATCCTCAAGAACAATGCATGAAAAACCTCCCTAACTTGAAGGCTTTCCTCAAGTTAGGCAAAAAAATTCGAGTAAGCTTCGTTACTCGAATTTTCTGGAGGTCTCTTTGGCTATTACAGTATCCTAATGACACAGGGCAGAGAAAAGCAATTAGAATGTTACTTGATATATTTTGAAAGAAAATTTAAGACTCTTTGAAAAAATGAAGTGTTGCCTCCAAATTTAGTACCCTGTCAACTCATTTAAGAAGCAATTTAAGGCCTAGAATACAGTGTCACCGATGAAAATTTCCTGCAGTTATTCTTTCTTTCCTCTTCTTTCTCTGAAGTTCGTCTCAAGGGACTCGCCTCTTCGACTGACGAGGTTCAATTGTACTGCATATGACATTTTACACGACGACACTGAAATGGCACCATTTTATCTTTCGAACCAGGCATTGATGCGTTAATGATTTTTCCGTAGTTTGTTTGTACGGATACATCGCGGCGCTGTTCGAAAACGAGCTACCACGGGGAACTTCATCTTTTCAAGATATCCCGAAAAGCTATCGTGAAGCGATGGAGAACAAATGGGGCCAAAATAACTACAGATCCTACTATCTCCTCCGCTTTGCTGAAGTGATCGCGGGTGGTATGATCATCGTTGCCATGAAGCATCTCTTTGGCATGAACGGTTTCTCGGAATTCCTGGTAGCCACGAGGTTATCCGCGATGCAGCATTGTCTGGAGAAATATGAGAATGCTGAATTAGAAGGTCAGTGTGAGCTTTCAGTTTTCTTAATTGAAAAAATAACGATATTCTTGTAGGAGTTTTTCTTTATTTTTAGCAAAGAAGCGTTCAAACTTGAAGCTCGAATGAATGATAAGTTCGACGCTTAAACTTTCATCGAATAGAAATGCGATGTTTCCCAGAAATAGTGAGAAAAAAAACGGTATTAATGCGCCGATGAAGAAAAGTTAATATTTTCCTAGCTTCTGGTTGGGAATTTTTTGCCAATTATTAATTTGATTTTCAAAATTCTTTTTTTTAGGATACCACGCGCACCTTTTCTTCTAATTTAATTCATAGGCGGGTATACATTTCATCATTTTTCAAAAAGTTTGAGAAATTTAGGTTTGCATTATAGTTAGTTTTATTGAGAAATTTTGAACCAAGTTTAATGGAAAACATTATTTTGATGGAAGCAATTAAAAATGAGTTTGAATCCGGTTCAGTTCATGTCTGAATTCAAAGTTGGGTGTTCTCATCTTTGAAATACAGTACTGTATTGCAGTTTTAGAGTCACTGAAAATGGGGTGCGCGTCGTACCTAGGAATACAATTTCATCAACATGTTTGACTGAAAAACCCTGGTGCGCGTCTTACTCAAGTTAATTCAGTATTGATCTTTGTTTCCAATGATTTGCATTTGCAGGGTGTTTTCGAGGGGCGTTCAACTTCACGGATTGGTATCACTTCTTCACTTATCGCGATCTACTTGTGAAAAAAATCCACCCGTCTGCTGCAATTTGTGCCAAAGAATACAATGTTTACGAGCACGTTTCATTGCCAGTGCTTCTACGTCGGGCGCAGTATCTTGAAGGACAAGCATTTGCTGGCCAGAAATTAGCTAGAGGTTTGTCGAGCCTCGAAATTTTGTTGAAATGTTGCCTGAAAAGCTAAATTTCGCAGGAGGACTCATGGGCGAGGCGTTAACGAATCCAGAATCCGTTGCTCATGTGATGGACAAGAAAAACGCTGAGCAAGTGCGAAGTATTGTTAACGCGAGCTTACCTGAAAATGAAAGCTTTGAGAAAGTGATTCCGAAAGAAGTGACTGCCATATTTCGACCGAGTCTATATCCTACGAGAGCCGTCATTTCCGCGTATTTGAACATTCTTCCCGCATTGAGACGAGTTCGGAATCTACCGCGAAATCAAGCAGTGTGAGTTTCAATGTCTTTTTGTTCTAGTTAAGGAAACAAATATTTTTTTTGGTCTGCATAATTTTAGGCCGGCGGAAGATTTCGTCGAGCTGAATGAAGACGTTTTGCGCCAAAAATTCACTGACAAGAATTTCAATTATTTGTTGGATGCTGTCCAGTATCGATCACTTTCGGATGTTTCGCCGCAGCTGAGAAAACCTTTGGAGCGTTTTCAAGAAGCCTGTGAATCAACAAGAAGGAGTTACTGGATGTTCCAAACGACGCGTCATCGGGAGCGTTTGCGATTCGAAAATTTATTCGAACAGTTGCCGAGAACTTACAAAAAAGTGGCAGAAATTTTTGCCAACGTCCTAGGCTGTTCTGTGGTTCATCTGCATGCTGAGTGTGAGCGTCTTGAAAAATGTATTTTTCGTGGGAAAATATGACTGACTGACTGGCGATCAGCTGCGGTGAAAGTTCGGATGCTGAACCTAATCGAACTGTGGAAGCAACAACGCAGGGAAGATATTAAAGTCATTGACGCGATAGCCAACGATCTATTTTCGATTTTTCAGGTTAGTTGAACATCTATTCGTTGTTCAGTTTCAATCTTCAAAGTTCGAATTTTGTCCAGAGTCCACAATATTTAAAATTTCATAAAGTCATTGACGCGATAGCCAACGATCTATTTTCGATTTTTCAGGTTAGTTGAACATCTATTCGTTGTTCAGTTTCAATCTTCAAAGTTCGAATTTTGTCCAGAGTCCACAATATTTAAAATTTCCAGACCCACAGAACTCCGCCGATTTTTTTCAAAGCCAAGATGCCTCTGCAGTTCTGTGTCTGATATTCTTACCATTTGTTCCAGGGTCGAAGTTGGCATCTTTTGCAAAATCGTACAAATTTCGGAAAAGTTAATTCAGTATTACTGCATTCATTTCAATCTTGGACGATCGCGATATTTTTCCGAAACCTTACTTAGAAGTTCAACTGAATTCTAATGGACTATTGCGGTTTGAGGAATAGTCTATCTTCAAAAATTGCAAGGTTTAGGCGAAAATCTTGAGGATAAGGTTCGCAGAATTGAACCTGATTTATAACCTTCACTTGCTCGCCGCTAAGTATCACTCCACTGCGTTTTTATGATTCGATACAATTGCTCAAAGCAGTTAAGTGACGAAACATCAATCCTGCTTTAATCCCCATTACGCAATTACTGTATCCTTACGTAGACTACCCAAACTTACTCATTGGTTGAAACCGTTGAAGGTTCTTGGTTCTGAAAAAGAAGAAAAGTACGGATGTCACGATGAAAAAACCGCCGGTGAGCGGTTGGAGTGCCGTAGGTGCATTGACCGCGATTCTTCCAAAAAACATTTTATTTAGTTTGCTGTACTTGATGACCGTTGCGATCGTCGCTCAGTTGCTGCGGAAAANTTCTTCCAAAAAACATTTTATTTAGTTTGCTGTACTTGATGACCGTTGCGATCGTCGCTCAGTTGCTGCGGAAAATCTGCAGAAATAGCTGTCACACTCGTTTCCAACGCATAATTGTCAAAGACTTTGTTTCTGCAATCGAGATAACCATGTCGTGCTTCGAATTCGGAACAGGTGAAAATCTCCGAGAAAAGTATTTGTTGGGGTCGGGAATATAAAAATCAAATATTCTCCACTGTCATTCGCGGATACAGCGACGCTTTGAAGTATAGTGCCTCGATAAATATAACTCAAACAGACTAGGGTAAAATAACTGGCACTCGTTTTCTTCCGACGGACCCGTGATCTGGCAAATCTCGAAGGAAAAAAAACCTACTTTTTGTTGTCTTGAGTGATTTTTAATTTGGCTCCTAATTTTTTTTTTTTTTTTACTTTGCATTTAATTCATCAGAGGACAATTTGTAGTTCAAGGGGTGATTTGAAAGGAGAGGTTGAATTGAACAAAAATCCGTGGGTGACATTGAAGCTCAGTTTTACAAATAATTACGTTGATCACTTCTAAGTGAGTGTTGAATGCAGATGATTTATCTGTTTTCAAATTTTAATTGGAAAAGCCATTTCTTGGAATGTTTAAAAAGTGTGACTTCTTCAAAAATTTCATGGAATCAATTAGGAGTTCCTGATGTCTGAACAGAATATTTGAATTTGATACTGTATTAAAAAAGCTTAAATGTGTGACGGCATCTTGTATGTATTCTCTCTTCACTTCCTTCAAAGGACTTACATGATCACATTTCCTGTGTATCTTATTGCAAATGAGTTGAAGTGAGCCTTTGACTCTAAATTTATCATTTCTATGGGAACATTTTGGTGCTCAGAATAATTTTTGCAATTTTGAAGCAAGAGAAAATATGCTGCAGTTCTGTCGGCAAACCTCAACATTTAGGGGGACTCTGAAAATAAGGCAATTCTTGAGAAACGAAGACGTCTGAAATTTTCTTGAAAACTATCGTTTTATTGATGCGCAGCTGTTCACATTTTTTAGTGATACGACATAATGGAATGGGGGTTTTTTCAACCATTCTGTTTTTCATCATACTGTGGCGCAAGTACAGTTGGCAGTACGTTGACGAAGATTCTGTCAGCTACTGTCCATGCAATGATCTCACGCAGCTTTGGAAGGGAAAAATGAGTTTGCCTTTGGTGGTTGGCAAGGAATTGGCAGATGTCATCGCATCTCCCATCGCATACAGGTGATTTTTTGAGCTTTCGATTTTTTCTGTTCAGTTCCAAATGCATTTATTCGTTTGCTCCAGGATGACCAATGTGTTCTGGAGCCTGAACCTTCGACCAGAACATGCTGCAGTGATGAAGTCAAATTTACCAGAGAATTGTGTTTCGGAAATATCGGTAAATGCTGGGTGTTTTGTGACTATGCAGAACTCCTCTCTTTATTCGGTGATATTGTAGGTCAGTTTAGGTCCGGCGATGCTCACTGAAGCCCTGGGAACGATTTTTCTTTGTTTGGTTTGGTCTAAGGCAAGGGCTGCGTCGTGCAAAGTCATGGGAATGGTTGTAGCCGCGTTTATCACGATCGCAACTGTAAACTTGAGTGAGTTTGAGAAATTTTACTACATTTTTCCTCCTTATAGTTTCAACCAATTTGTCAGATGGGATTTTTACGCCATAGTTACGCAGGCAGTTGTGAACATATTGCTTTCTACAACACTTCAGTTAAATCACTGACAGATACATGTTTGGGTTCGACCAAAAATTTACTGTTATCTTTAATGAATTATTTTAAACAGTAAGAAATGGTTAAGAATTACCGTATTTACTTGAGTGCCATGAACCCTCAATTAAGGCGCGCACAGGGGTATTTCAGTTGGAAATTTGGCTAAAATCTTATACCAGAGTAAGATGTGCACCCCAATTTTTAGTGAATCTAAAACCACAAAATTTTGGAAATAAATTCAAAAAATTTGACTTTTAGACATGAATTCAACAAAAATTGGATCAATTTTCAACTTTTTCAGTACAAAAAAGTTTTCTTGTTACATTTGTTTGAAATTTCTCCTTTATAATTAAGTATAATGCACACATAATTCTTAAAGCTTATTGAAAAATTTGTACCTGCTTATGACGCGCACCCCCTTTTTTCTTCTGAAATTTGAGAAATAATGTGTGTTTGGTACTCAAGTAAATACAGTACTGTATTTCGAATTTTATTTTTTATGCACATTTTGTGTGCATTTATACTCGTATGGACGTGGCTTTGATTGACTTATTATTTTCAACTTCCGATAACTTCACCAACTTACGAAAGAGCATAAAGTTGAAGACCGTGAACTGAATTAAATTTTGCAAGTCTATAATCAAAGACTAGTTGGAAGTTACAACCTGTTAAAAGTAGAGTCTTACCATTATGAGTGCAATACATTGAGTACAGATAGAATTGATCAGAATTGCGATTTGTTGTTCAAATCTTGAAAAGCATGGATGCTGAGCTGGACACATTGCTTAATTTGACATACGAGATATAACTGTTGAAATTCCCCTTTGTTTATCAAATTTTTCGTGGATAAAAAGATAAACTACCAAAAGCACCTTTGGGAACAAGTTTATGTGTTAAATTAAGTATCTTGTCCTTGATGGTCGAATCGTTATTTGAATTTCCATGTTGATCGAATATAAAGTATTATATTACATTATGGAATTTAGCTGCAATGCAGAGAATAAATGTCAACATCAACACAACTTTTCGTTATTTCCAAACCTTGGGCTGTGATATTGAAAAGAATGAGGCACGAAGCAGATGGAAACGGTGTTTCTTTCGAGAAGAGGTTTCCTGTCTTTTCTACGGGGAAATTCAGCAAAATAAATTGGAAGTGCAATTAATCATAAAAATTGGTGCCCGCCAAAAATAGGCGTCCATTAATCTATGCATTAATGTATGAAAAGAACCTGTAGACATTTCAAAATATTTATTAAATTAAAAATTTACTGTGTTTCGTGCAGGTTCTCCCATTTCCGAGGTCTTCATCTTTTCAAACTTCTTGAGGCGGAACTCCGTAAAAACAACGTAAAAAAAATGTCGATACGGCATATGACCTGCGTATTTCAGTCCGGCCCTGGCAAGTGCCAAAATGTGGAACTGCAAAGGATCTTCGATGTTGGAACACATGATGACTTACTGGGTGGCACCCATCGGTGCTGAAATAGCCTACGAAACAATTTCCGCGCGTCTCATTCCGTCAGATGGTCCGAAAACTGACTAAAAAAAATTTTTTTACACAAAAAGCCTAAATTTTGATGCGCGAGCATTTGAAAATTTGTTGGTAGTTTTTTTGGAATACATGTGAGTTGAATTTTTTACTAATGTATTGTTTTTTCTATTCTGGGTTATTAAAGACGAGATTTCACTTCAAGAGTTGCCACACTTGCTTCAGTTTACTGCTGGAAACGATTCAAAGCTCCTATAAATTTCAAAAATGAAGGAATTCGCATCAGCTTATCTCAACTCGAATTGATTGCCTTCGTCGTCGATTTCCGGGAGAAAACAAAGAAATAAGGCAGTCGTATAGATGTCTTTCAGCATCGTTTCTCGAATAAAGAACACCGCCCATGAACAGCAAATATTTTGCACGCTTTTCGCCTTGCCGCTCGTGTGCAGGCAAGAAATAGAGATAGACGCGACGATTGATTTGGTTTCTTGAGAGATAGTGTTGTGATAGCGGGTGCTGATCGAATCACGCGAATATTATTAATTTTTATCGGTTGGAGAAGATGACCGGATCAAGTGCGGTCGTCTCTCAGCAAGCAATTTCAATGCGGTGTTTTGATCATTTTTGTTTAAAAAGGGAATCTCATGAAACGAACATTAAACGATGGAAAAAATGTGTCGCATTTTCCGATACGTTTTCCTGCTCCTTTCGTTGGTGAGACAATATTATCACTTCTACATACTGTAGTAGAACTTCTTGATTAAACGTAAACTCCACTATGCTCCCTTTAAGTAGGTAGCCCCTTTACCAAGGCGCCGCAAGGAACAGGACTTTATTACTTGTAAAAAATTTACTCAACGGAGACAAAGTAATTTTTAGCTATATTGAGGAAATTAATTTGATGCATTTTGATGGTGATGTAAAATTCAGATCATCTAAACATCCAAGGAACTGAGTCATCTGAACTCCGCCTATAAAAGTACAAGTAGTGAAGTAAAATATTGTTAAAACAAAAGCTTGTCTTAATAAATGATACTGTATATGAAATCCATGGATCTCTGCAGCAAGGACTGAAAGGACGCAAAAATGCCCCGAAGTGCTTCCACAATAAAAACGTGTTGTCACTTCCCATTCTTATGATAAAAGAACAAGGAAAAAATCAAAATATACATCATTCTGCTTACTGTATTTCAAACCTGCCCTGCTTCAAATTTCCTGAAGATTTTTCGATCTGCCTAATATATACGCTGTAAAAAAATACACAGGTAAGGTTTCATGAGTAGTTTAGTGTTCACAGAATAGGGACTACATCCTTTTATAAGAAAATTTATTGATAACTATACTTTTTTACTCGATAACTATTTTAGGTTTTAATCCGACATCTTTAAGACTACTCCTAATCACGGTTGATGTCTGCTTGCACGAGCGATGCTTAATTTTTGGTACGAATGAAATAGCATTTCCATTTCTTGATGAATTTCCAACTGCATTTATACTCATTGCTGGATTTGTAATGCAGTTTGATTTTCCCATTTTTTGGAAATTCGTAAGAAATTCCTATGGCCCATATATTTTACATTGAGGTAAAACATTTAAATACTAAAATATATTAGAGATGAAAATTATTCCTTGACACGTTTCTAGTAGAATTTTTTGCTGTTTCGTTGGAGGAAAGTCACACTGAATTTGAAAAAACTACCTCGTAAGGGGTTTCACTGGAAAGAACGAATCTGTATGCTGCTGTTCTCAGTAATCTCTCCTCTAATTTACTTGCACTATCCTGTCAATAACTTGTGGGTTTTCTGAAATTTTAACTGGAATCCAAGCACTAAAATATTGAGAGTGTACGAGATGTAAGTTCAAGCTTTACGTTGAAGAAACGAACCAATCTGTTTTAAACTTTACTTAAAAATGTGTAGGAAGCAGGTACTTGTTCTGTCGCAGTAGGCCTTACAAAAGAGGTAGTGGAGGTGTGGCGGCGAAGTAGCGACAGCTATTAAAGCTGTTGAAGTGGAGCGCATTGGCAATCCCTACTTTCAATTGTCATTATCCAACCACATTGCTCGTCAATCGCGAATCCGTCCGCGAAATCGAGCAGAAAAGCGGAAAGCGTGCAACCTCGACACCTTTGAAAATCGACCCGGACGAGCAGCGAGCCATGCCAGAGACCTGCGATCGTCCGAAACGAAACATCCGATGGGACGGAAGTATTTTTGTGAGGAAAAACGCTTATTTATTCTCCAGACACGATTTTAAACTTGGCATACGGAAGTATAATCATACTTCAAAACAGGGTGATTCTCTCGTCTTGCAGACCCAGAAAAATTGCGTAGGTTTCAGCAATATTCTTAAACGTGGTATTTTCGCTGGATTTTATTAACTTATATATACAAGAGAAGGGAAAAATCCTTCCTAAATCTGAGCAGGAGGAAGTTTTTTGTCCTCTTTTTTTATAATTAATTTAATTATAAATTCTTGAAGACGTTGTGTCCTCTTTTTTTCCTCATCTAAACTGTTGAGTGCTTACTGATCGTAACAACATTATTTATTTATTCTTCTTCTTAGCGATGCTCGACAAGATCCTTGATACATTCTCATTTCTTGCTCATTCATTTTTAATTCTGGCTCAACTGAGTCAATAATTGCACGAAGTAGTATACATAGTGCTTAACTTGCTACTGTACCATGAACCCACAAAACGCGGAATTTTTTTTTTCATGTGGCCGCACGCGGAAATCTGACGTTTTCGTTATTTATTGGCGCGCAAAAATCATAAAGAGACGTTTCAAGTTCCAATTCCAGAAGAATTCTATACTACAAGAAACCTGTTTTAATGCAAAAGGAGCCCCTGATGAATTACCAGCCGAACGTGAAGTTGAAAATGCCCATTCGATATTTGGCGCCGGGTGAGAAGGTCAAAACTCCTCCACGGCGTCCCGTGTCACATCGAATTTTTACCGGGGCGCCGCGGGATTGGCACTCATTTGACAGACGAGAGCACGACGAGAATGATGAGAAATTCCATAAAAACCCGGGTTCGTTTGTCAAGACTGGACTAGAAAATGCATCCGGGAAAACGGACAATAAGGGCGGGGCTTTACATCGCATCACCCACGTCGTTGGTGGACACAGGTACTGTATTTTATGCTGTGACATCCAGTGGATTATGTTCACGGCGATGATTTATTTAGCGCTGATCTGCGCAATGAAAAATCAGCGTCCTGAAATTTTATTAACCCAGTCTCGTGATGCAAATCTACATTAAATCGATGATTGGTTCCAATGCCAAAATAAATAGAAGTACTGTATAGTGAGACCCCAATATGCGGACCCCCCGGCCGACATTTAAACAATTCGACTTAGAGACACTTGAAAACAACAACAAATCAGGCCCAACATCCGGACATTTGCTCAAGTTAGGGACACTTTTCTAAAATTTTCCGAAAACATCGAATATTTTATTTTTCAATTTTGATATCTTTTGAAGAAATCAAGCTATTTATACTTTTAAAATATGATAAATTCACTCTAATTCATAATCAAAAGGAAGCTGATTTTGTGCTTCTTTTTTCAGAGTTTTTTTTTTCTATCATCTGTGGTTATTCTAGCAAGATTTATTCTGTTTATTTGCTTTTTGATCTCCTTTTGATACCAGAAGATCAGATTCTATGTGGTTGTTCTGCAAAGCTGTTTTTTACAACTTGAAGTTGAGGGCAAAAATGTTTATTAAATTTTTTGCGGACTTATTTCTAATTTTTGAGAAAAAGGAGAACCAAATAAATACATTAGCATTGAAGTCAAAGGGAAAATGAGACTCAACTTAGAGACATTCTGACATCAGGACATCTTGATGCACCAATAACTTCCGCATATTGGGGTTTCACTGTAAATAATACTTGAAGTGTGTAAGGTTAATCTATATGGAATGGAGACTCTGTTTCAGGATCCCTTGGGAATTTATCCAAATATTCCAGAATATACACCATTAAAAAATTGCAACTTCTCAAGCAAAAATTATCCAAGGAAAAATGACAAAATTACCCAGATTCTCTTTTTTTTTTAAATGCTCAACACAGTCTAAAATACAGTACCCTATATTTATTCTAATTTTCATATTTAGTATGTGACAATCAGTGACCCCATAGCTCAGAATCAGACTTTTGTGTGCAAAATACTGTGCAGTAATTTTTGAGAACAGTATTTCTTCTTTAATATGTACAGTATTGTCCTTTACACATTGTGTTTTCCGGCAACCATCTCTGCCTGTAAGGGATAGGTGGCGCAAGCCGCCTTTCCCGACCGTCGCCCGCAGAAAAACTCCACATTGGAATTCCAGCGTGGAATTTCAATCGTCTCGCCATTTTCCCCCTCTCACTAATTAACATTACAGTCTAAATTCACCTCGCGAAGTGCAAACATCTCATCTCATTAGTGTTGATTATTTTCCTTGTTTCAAAATACAATTTGAACCGCTTTTCTTTTGGAGACCTCACCAAAGGCTCCCTGCCGAGTCCCCGGCGGCGTACGTGTTTAAATTTGTCTTTCAGCCTGATTTATTATTCAATTTATTTGTCTTTGTGGTCGATGCACCACAAAAGTGGTAGCAGAGCGTAGAGTTAACGAAATTCAAAATAGAAATTTTTTTTATCTTTTCCCTTAAAAAGTTTACGAAATTAAAACACTAAAAACAATCAGAATATCTAAAAGAAATTTTGGCTTACAAATTCAATAAAAGCAATTGTAAAATTCAAGACAATCAAAAAAGATAAAAAAGAACTTCCCCAGCAAAATCAAAAAATAAAAATAGTACAAAAAAGTGCGCAGCGCAGAAGTGAATCCATCGAAGCAAACGCAACAAATCGTCGAAACACGAAGGCATCATGGTGAGGGGAAGGCCACCAACCCGCAACAGGGGGGAAAACAAACCCCCAACGTGAGTCGAAATGAAATACCCGATGAAATACCAAATAACCCAGAACCCATCAAAAATCCGCCAGATCCGATAGAAACAAATTCAAATGCAGAAATCCCTACTAATCCAGAAAACCAAATGCATACGGAAAATCAAGCAATGGAAATTCAAGAACATGAGCAAAACTTACTAGCGCACGAACAAATGGAAATAGAAAATGTCGAAAATCAACAAGGCAACCCAGCTGAATACAATAATCTAGTGCAAATGATAAACGTTAAACATATCATAGTATCATTAATAATAAGAG